AAATAATATAAATATTAAATCCTAAAAAAAAGGAAGAGAACCTATTATGAACTGCTTGAAACATGCATTTATTACATTTTTAAAAAGATAGGTGGGAGAATAGTCATCATACCAACTGTGACTGTGTTAAGTTAAATAAATAAAATCATATTAATAATAAAATATTGAATATAATAGTTCCAATGGGAAAATAATGTCTGTAAACAATTTTGAGGGTTCCGAACAGAGCATTCAATTATTGCTCATTCTGTAATAACGTTAATTAATAGTAATAATAATAATAATAATAATAATAATAAATCCTAAATTGCAGTCTATTACTTGTTCAGCCCTACTTTAAGTCACCTGGATCTTTTGTTTTTGTAGTTTTTTTAAATTGAATTTCTGGCACCAGTTTTCCTGAACCTTCTCCTGACAGGCTCCTCTGTGCTGAGAATCAACGTGACTTCACTTCACTGCTGCCAAGTTCAACACAGACACCGTGAACGCAGCTGCACCCTTCAACGCACCTTTCTACCAAATGGTGCGTTTAGGGACTCCTGCCCACAGCTGTCCCTGTGAACTCCTGCCACTTACTGCCACGGCTGCCGTCCACGCTGATCTGAGGACCCTGCTTGGAGGTGATGATCCGCTCCCCCTTCCACGTCCCCGCGGCTCGGATCGAGTCCAGCTCGTTCTCCAGCACCGCTCGGGCCTCGGCGACGGCGGCGTAGCTCCGGGTCGGAGCCGCGGCGGAGGACCGCAGCGCCCCGCGGGCCGGGTTCAGCAAACTCCGGGCAGCTTTTCCGAGAGACATGTCGGCGTGTGTGGAGGCGTGAAACGTGCCACGGAGCCAGGCTGGACGCGGAGAGAGGGCGGGGCCGCGTCACGTAACAAGGGTGGGCGTAGAGGCGGCGGACCAATCAGAGGGCAGGGATGCTGGGCGGGGCTTGTCTTGTCCAATCAGAGTTCAGATAATGTGTGTTTATCCGCTATGGCTGCAGAGCTTATTATAAACTCTAACACTGGACTGCATGTCGGTTAAAGTTGTTTAAAATGCTTTGAAATAATTTACAGTAGAAAATTAAATAAAAATAATTAAAGTGCAACAACACAACCTGCTAAAGCTACACACACACACACACACACACACACACACACACACACACACGGTTTCACAACTACCCTGTTTACCCTCTGCCAGGCAAATATTTTTCTTTCTTCAGCTTTCTTTGTAAACTGATGTGGATTCAAGATGAAATATAATTATTGTCACTCACACAAACATGTCAGAGCGTCCTACACATATAAAGGCTTTGGTTTATAAACTGATATTAGGTTAATATGAATGTGCCCACTTTACAAAAATCATGTTAGTAAAGTAAAACCGGCACCAGAGTGCATTTTAAATTCAATAAAAGTGAGTCCAGCCCTGTGCAAAATCAATGTCAGATGATTTCAAATTTAATTATCTGTCTATAACTGAATTATTATTATTATTTTATGTGTATGAGCAGCATATTTTACTCTTATTAACACTTCAGGCAGACTATATTGACAATTCAGGCCCCAAGGTCAGATTGCATCGCCACAAAAGCAAATACACACGTGATAACTGAAACACAAGGTAGAAAACCTGTGAAACAGAACTGAATACACCTACAGTCAGCCAAATGAGCTGCAACCACCAGAACACCAGAACCTTATCAGTTTGGATCTATGGGCTGTGTCTATCTGCATCATGGCTCCACATGTAAAAGAGTTGCCAGAAGACCTCAACAATCTGAGACAAATATGAAAAAGTAAACAGGAAGATGGATGTAAAACTAAAACCAGTGCAAACAGAGCTGCAGGAGTAACCAGGAGGCTTAGAACAAGTCATGGCACCACTAATCAGAGCTACAGAAACATTACATGCTAGTGGATTAATTATTTAACCCTATTTCGAAGTAGATTGAACCTTGTAGTAGTATTGAACCCATACAGAGGGCATCCAAGAAAAAGTAAACCTTGCCTTCACAAAACTGTAAAACTAAACTTTGCGAAAGAACTGAACGTCAGGCAGACATGTGGGGCTCAGATGGGGTCCAGCATGTTTGGCATAAACCTGCTCAGGACCACAGTGACTGCAGAGTCCTGACAGTAAAGCACGGAGGTGGAAGTATCATGAAATGGAGCTGGATGAGTGCAGAAGGTGTTGGGGAGATGTTATTTTTCAATGGCATCATTAACGTCTGTGGATATAAAAAATACTGGCTGACAAGATGATTCCTCGTCTGCAGAAGCTTGGCAGAAGAGGAATATTTCAACATGTTAGCCTTCTATAGCTCACTACCAAGATCCACAAGAGTTTCAACGTAAGAACAAAATGAAAAATACAAACCGGCCAAGTATGATGCCCGACTTGAATCCAGTAGAACAGCTTTGGGGCCTCGTAAGGAGAAAGGCAGAACCCCTGCAGCAAAGAACAGCTGAAAAAACAATCTCCTCTATAGCAAGAAGGATTGGGTCAGTCAAAAAAAAACATGGTGGACAAAAATAAAACATTTGAGTTCAGAGAGTGGGGCCTGTATTAGTAATATAAAGTGTTAGCTTTTCATTTTACACAAAGACAAATACCCCACTCCTCAATTTAAAAAGTGATGCAGTTACTGTTTGGTGATACAAGCTGGAATAATTCAATATTTCAGTGATATTGCACACAGGTGAGCTCACTTTGGTTGTATAATGTAGACTCTTATTGATGCATTCAAAGCCACAGATCTAATTACCAACAGACAGAAACTGAAAAAAAGAACATACAGAACTCCAGTTAATAATTTTAGTTTAATAAACGACAGCAGTGTGCCATGACTTTCTGTTAAAGTTCAAGTAAAACATTTTCAGAGGGAAAATTTGGATGTAAAAAAACAAAACAAAACTCCTCCAACATCTGTAACGATGTGAAGCATCAGTTTGTCACAGCTGAGCTCCTCTTACAAGTTTAGTGTTTGCTACCTTCACAGGGGCCTTTTCTTTAACCCAACAACGTATTTAACAATATATATATATTTATATAACAGCAATATAATACATCGTCTATGTCTCAAATCGTTTCCGTAACAAGCTCCACTTTCTCCTTCCTCAGCAGGAATGTAACCATAGAAAATGTGCAAATGTTTGCTCGCGGACAAACCTCCACAAAAACTTTTTGTCCTTCGTCAAATAACATTATTTTTTCTTTTATCAGTTAGAAACATGTTTGCGCTCCAGTAAAGAGCAGAGTGCACGACGTAGCTCCTCCGTTAAATTGTGCCACCGAACCGTTCGTCAGTAAAGAATCCTGCATGTTTCCAGCCGGTAGCGCAGCAGCTTCATGGGCGACGTTAGTTTGGCAGGTTTGGCTTAAGACTCGGAGTGGTTGGTGTCCTGCGAGGAGGCTCTCAGCGATGGCAGGCGGTCGGCAGCTTTTGCTCTTTCTGCCAAAAACTTGTCAAACTCTGGAGGAGGAGACGAGAAGAATTCATTTTTATCAGTCATCGAAGGGAAAATAGAAAGAATAATAAGAGTAATAAAAAAGGCGGTTGTCGAAGAATCCATCCATCATCTCTACACCGTAATCCTCACCAGGGTCATGGGGGGCTGGAGTCTATCCCAGCTGACTCAGGGTGAAGGCAGGTTCACCTGGACAGGTAACCAGTCTATCACAGGGCTACACTTAGAGACAGACAACCAAGCACACTCACATTCACACCTACAGACAATTTACAATCACCAATTAACCTCAGCATGTTTCTGGACTGTGTGGGAGGAAGTCGGAGAACCCGGAGAGAACCCACGCTGCACGGGGAGAACATGGAGACTCCACGTAGAAAGATCAAGAACAGACGACCTTCTAGCTGCGAGGCGACGGTGATAACCACTGATCCACCTTGCAACCCAAGTTTTAGTATCAGACACCGTTATGTTCACTTTAGTGTCAGATTGTCTTTCCTTTATAACATAGTCGTTGATTTCATGTTTGTGTTTTTACAACATCTAAACCTACCTAGACAGTAGCTATTTTAAAATATTTGGCCTTATTTGATGTAAAACTAGGGCTGCAGGTGGCTCGGTGGTTACCACCGTCGCCTCGCAGCTAGAAGGTCGCCGCTTTGCGTCCCGGTGAGGACACCCGGGATCTTCCTCCCACAGTCCAGAAACATGCTGAGGTTAATTGGTGATTCTAAATTGTCCGTAGGTGTGAATGTGAGTGTGCTTGGTTGTCTGTCTCTAAGTGTAGCCCTGTGATAGACTGGTTACCTGTCCAGGTGAACCTGCCTTCACCCTGAGTCAGCTGGGATAGACTCCAGCCCCCCATGACCCTAGTGAGGATTAAGTGTAGAGATGATGGATGGATGATGTAAAACTTGGAGTATGATGAGGCACCATTTGCCCACTATCAAAGCTTTTACTGCCACCTACTGGTCAAATGCAAAAATATTTATCAGCAGACATGAAACTGCCAAAAGACTTTTATATTTGTGTAAAGACGAGAACATGTCACAACAGCCTTAAACTGTACATTTAGCTCCACATTAAGTAGGTATTAATCTTCCCTTTTAATAACAGGGTGAAGTGTTTTCTCAGGTGTACACGAATGCCAAATGAAATGATGGACGATAAACTCATTTTGAAAAAAAAAAAAAACGATCCTCACCTTCACTGGTCACACCGTCCGAGTCCTCAAAGTCATCGTACTGCGTCGGAAACACAACAGATACGGGAGAATATAGTTAAAGAGTATTGTTGACACCAAGATGCTCGTGTTCAAAACTCAAAATTTAGATTATGACAGGAGCGAGCTTCCCAGGTTGAATTTATCTGTCGCTGGTTTGAGTTTGGAGCAATGCAACAGTTCATAAAGTGACAAAACTGACTGAAAATTCAATTAAATCAATGTTCTGCTGTGCAATAAAGCCAAACAATACATTTATCATATTTATCTGATTAAAGTTAGTCATCCAGACACTGACCTCGTCATCCAACGCGAGCCACTTCTCGATATCATCCATGACGTTGGACTGTGTGATCGGAATCTAAGGCGGAGACAAAAGCCGGTCAGCTGAGTTCAATACAAGCCGCCGGTGAAACTTTGTGAAACCAAACCACCAAAAAAAAACATGAGAAAAGAATCCAATGCGGGTAAACAAAGACGTAAATCAAGAGGGCTTCACATGTCGGGACAAAGCAAACCCAACGTCATGCTCTTGGAGACCAACATGCATGTCGCATCCCAACACCTGCACCACAAAAACCCACAACGTGATCCAAATAAAAACCACCACAGACCAAAGTAAACTGCATCCTCATGATGAAACCAACACACAGAAGGGATGGAAAGGGTGAAACCAGAACCAGTTTGTTTGGACTCGGACCCACCATTCCCCTTTTAATCATCCAATCTAACTTTGGCGAGGAGCTGCGGGTGGACGCCGGGCTGTCGTCCTTCATGCACAGACAGAAGAGTTCATTTAAGAGAAGGAGAGACAAAGCAACGCTCGAGCAGCAGTTAGGCCCAGAGATTCTGCTCTACAGCTCAGATATCATGAATATCTGCACAAAAAAAACCTCAGAATCTGACTTCCATGTTGGTATTTTGTGAGAAAGAAGCTATTTCCCAAAGATCAAATCACTAAAGAGAAAAAAAAGCTGATTAATCTCATCAAACTGTGTAAAACTGGAGTCATGCGGCGTCTCGTTCTCACCGTTCCGGTGTTGTGCAGTCTGCCGTCCTGAGCCTGAGCCAAGCCGTCCACCGCGCCGTCGCTCTGATCGCTGGAAGACAAGATCCGGCATTAAACTGACTCATAAAAGGAATGAGAAGGAATGAGTCAGAAGTCCAACAATCTCTACGAGTCCTGAGAAAACAGCCCGATGGAGGAGTCTCGTGACTTCTGGTGTGAATTCCAACATAACTGGGACGAACCGACAGGATTCACTTTGTTGGTCACACAGCGTGAAGTTTTAATCAGGAACAGCATGTTGGAGTGGAGACGGTTTGGAGAAGCTTTAAGACGACATTCAACCATTACTAGTTGACAAATTTAACTGTTTAACCATTAGCCAATATTTAAACCCACACACATAGACTAATTCTTGATATTATGATGCTATTATAATTTAGATTTAATAAAACTGTCACTAGGCTTAAATACATTTTGCGTAGGCCTATTTTTTTTAATTTAATATATATGTTAGGGCATTTCAATTACACACACACTGATAACTTCTCCAACTACTTATAGTATCAGAATCTCTTTATTGTCATTGTACAAGAAAGCCCAATGAAATTTGAATTAGCAGCTCTTATAGGCAAAACATCAGGACAAAAAGTGCACAAGACATAGTAAAAAAAAATGTTTTAAAAGACTGTACAGTTCACAGGGGGTATTTACACGACTAAAGGTATGAAGAATAGTAAAAAAAAAATAGAATATAGAATATAAAATAAAAATAAATAACAACCTGAATATTATAAGAAATTATTGCACTTGGTGAATGAACAGAGATTTTTCTATTTTACATTGAACACGGATTATTGGGAATTCAAGGCAACGACAGCTCTTGGGTCAGGCGACGATAACATGTTTTTATGGAAACGCATCCACGTTTTACAGCAGATCAGACTTTTCTGGACAGGAAAACAACATCCTGGCAGCTCAGGACGAACAATTTAATTTAAAAACTAAGACTTGAAACAGCCTAACTGGTCTGATGTGAAGAAAAGCAAAATAAAATTCTGATCCGTCCTGTCTCCATGTCAGGGATCATTTAAAATCATAAATAATGAAGCTAACACCACGTGAATAAACGCTCATACGGATGCTGTGCTGCAGGTGGCAGGAGAGACTCCTACAAACAGCTGGAAGCAACAAACTGAACTCTTTTAATTACTATTCATGAGTCGGATGTGGAGCTGCACAGTTAAACAAATGAGAGGTCTGTGTGGCAACTAAAGGCAGTGAAACTCCACCGTTTGTTCACCAGTTTGCTGCTGAAACGTGGAAAAAGCCTGATGGTTTAACATACAGAACAGTTCGAGGCTCGAGGCTTCTTCTTAGATGAGTTTGGCCGGTAGGAGAGCGAGGAACAAAGATTGAAAGACGCCAACCCTCACTCCAAAAGCGTGAGAGTTGGCAGCAGTGAATAAGGAATCAGTGAGTCAGACCGGACTGAGACATTCAGCTGGAGTACCTCCACTCACTCTGCTGCTCGGAAATGGCCAGAGGGGGGGACGGCAGGTTAGAGAGGGGAATGCATTACTGTCATTCTGCCAAACAGAGGGATGGCATCCCATCTGTAGCGCTGTTAGGGAACTATTTCAGAACCAGAAAGCTTTACTGTCTTTGCAACCAACAGCACAACAGGATTTGCTGTGAAACTACTAAAATAAACACATGATAAATGCATCGACACTGTAGAAAACATCACATCTAACGTGCTCAGTTATTGCACCACCTTGTATTCATACAGGTACATAATCTGATTATTATTTTCTTTATTTGTTTTTTCCCCATTTTGCACTCTTTGGAAATTTGATTTATTTATTTATGCTATTTCTCTCTCTTTATTCCTTATTCTTATTTATCTTATTATTATTGTTTCGGTGTGGAACAGGAACACAACGCATTTCACTGTCATACTGTGTATAACCGTGTTTGTGACCAATAACAGACCTTGAAATCTTTGCTGACGATGAATTGAAACCAGTTATTTATTATTTTTAGTTATTTATCGCAACTATTTAGTCCTTCGTTACTCATTCTTTACTAGAACATGTGCTACATGTGCATTTTTTCTACTTATGTAAAAAACAATCTGTGCAATATTATGTTTTTATAATTAGTACTTATGTATATCTTGGTTTATTTTTTATTTTTGTGATATTTTTCCTAAATGTTTGCGCCATCATTGCTGCTGTAACCTTGCGCATTTCTCCACTGTGGGATTAATAAAAGCTTATCTCATTACTTTTAGCTACTTATTCATTACTTTTGGTGAAGTATTTCAACTATTTATTCATTACTTTCAGCTAAATGTGACCCATCTGCACCAGATCAGTCACATTGCTCCTTGGGCATTTATGCATAAACAAAAGTTGCTACCACATGACACAAATTGGCTGCTGATGACACACTGCTCACGTCGCACAAGTGGTTTCCTTGTCTTCTTTATGGTGTTAGCGCTCATGCACGCTGATGGTATTTGACAGCGATATGGAGTGGAACTAAATGGACCGATGTAAGGAATAAACCCAGAATCAATATTTTATCCTGTGTTAACGTAATCCGGGCTGTGTCTTAGATATATAGCCCAATGCGACTGATTTCATGCAGACGGGTCACAAATATTTCAGCTGCTGTTTAAGTTCTTAATGTCAGAAATAGAGGGAGTTTCTGTACCTTGGTCTGTGTTGAGTTAAGACGTTTACTCTCTGTGATAACGTGTCGTCGGATTCACTTGTGCCTGCAAGAAAAACAGAATTTGTGTTGCACGCAGAACAAAAAATACATTTAATGTATTAATAACCACACTTGTAATAATAAAATCAAAGCATGTTAATACCAATAAATAGTCTGAAAACGTATTAAAACTCACTAAGTTTTGCCATCTGACTGGACAGACTGTCTGTTTTGGAGAGGCTGAGCGAGCTGTCGCTGGTTACAACCCCCGACTGGCTGGCAGACTCGCTCCTCAGATCGAGGTCCGTTAGGTTGACGTACGTGTGACTCTGAAAGACATCGAGTCCACGATTCAGCCCACAATCAATCAATCAATCAATCAATCAGTCAATCTGAGAAGTAAGATAAACAACTACTGACACGTTATTTACCTTCTGTGCTGTGCTTTGACCGTTTGTTATCCGCCTCTCAAACCTGTAAAGAAAAAAATGAAATTACGAAGTGAAAAAACACGTTAATAAATAAGATAACACAGTAGTAATAACAACAACATGGCGGTTACCTGTGGTAGCGCGTGAAGGCGGTGTTCATCTCATCGTTAGTCGCCAGCAGCTCCTCTATCAGCTTCTCCTCGCTGAGCCGGGGCACAATCTTCACTATCCTGTCCTGCATTTCCTTACACACTGTGTATAACTGCTAATGACACAATCAGACAAATAATGCGTGGGTCGGGGGGCGTTGGAGGGGCAGATGCAACACAAAGTGTAAAAAGAAAAGGACGAGATCAGTTAAGGGCAACGCAGCGGCGCAATAACATCAGCGGAGGGAAAACGACTTTCTCACGACAGAGAGAGAGAGCAGAGAGCAGAGGAATCAGAACAGGAAGTCGGTTGATGTATTTTTTTTACCTCCAGCAGCTCCATGTCCGCCTGCTTCACCGTGACGGGATCCAGCTGACTCATCATGTCCGACATGGTGGTCAGGTTGCACCGCACCACTCCCAGCTCGGTCTTCAGCGTCTTTATCTGGAACAGCAGCAGGATTTACTGAATAAACACAGCTGTAATCACGCCATGGAGGAGGCAAATATTGGTTTCTTTAGAAGGGTTGGAGGCAAAAATGAGTTGAGAACAGATGCAAAAAAAGGGAGTAGTGGGACCACATGAACAAGAGGACACTGTAAAAATAATAATAATTAAAAAAATCCAACAGCTGGGGCAACAAAATAATAAAAATGAAGAATTAAAAAAATGAAAAAAATACTGAAAAATAATGAAAAATAACCATTAAATAAAAAAAATAAAATTAAAAGATAGATATAATAATAAATAATATACATAATGATAAAAATATATTGTGACAGATGCTAATAGATTATAAACAATGCAAAAAAAACAAAATCATTCAACATTTGTGCTGTGAAAATATAATTACAAAAGACAATATTTGATTTATTATACATTCTCATTATTTAACAAATACATCTGTGTGAAACTACAGATTTTTTTTATGATGACAAACAATATTAATATTTAATTGTACTATTTATTTTATTGTATTATTATTGTTTTACATATTAAATAAAATGGAAATATTTGTAAAATTACAATAAATTACAATTCAATTTTAAAAAAAATATAATTTCATTTTATGATTTTTTAAAAATGTTAAGTTATATCAAGAATGTAAATTCACTTTTTCTATTTATGTCTATTTTTTTTTAATTTTATTGATTTTTTTGTGTTTTTTAAAAGTGAAGAAAAAAAAAATTAAACTCCAGATTCATTTTTTTACAGTGCACAGTGAACTTGAAAACATCCCCTTGCAGCCCCGTCACCTGGCTGGGCGTGAGGGCATTGCTCCCCTCAAGGGCCAGTTTTAGCTCAGAGGTCTGAGGTGGGATGAGCGGAGGTTTGGAAGACAGGAGCACAGCAGGGAGAGTAGTGACAGCAGGCCCATTCCCAGGCAAGGTCTGATAGGCAAAGGCACAGAAATGACCAGAGAGAGAAACGTGATGAAAGGCAGCAGCACCCAACAACCAGCAGTAAACTCAGTCAGCACCACCCCGCCCTGTCCGCACCTTTTTCGAAGCTTGCACCGGCGAGTAACCGTCCAGTTCGGTCATTGGGAACTCGAGTCCTTTCCTCCGCAGGTCCTCGTACACCGACACCACGCCCGTCAGGTCGGGCGAGCTGCGGAAGGCGTCGGCCCACGCCTCCACGAGACAAAACCACAGATTATTCCCACACGCTGAAGCAACGTGAAAGAATGACAACAAGCTGATTGTTTTTCATTTCACACGGCCGCGCCTCACCTGTATGATGCTGAGCACTCGGTCGTGCAGGATGGCCGGAGGGTTGTTCCTCGGGATGATGGCGCGGACCAGAACTCCCTCGATGAAGTCCCGCGTCGTCACCAG